AATCAATTTTAAATATACAAAGAAATTTAAAGCTAGGATATTAGTGAGCCTTAATTCGGTAGCATGTCCCATTTAACTTCATCTTTTACTTCTCTTAATGACCAAAAATAATTATTAATGCCAAAAAAGGCAACACCTACCTATGTATATATATATATATGTGTGTGTGTAACTGAAACTATCATTGTACCTTAGAAGATTTGAGGCAGGATGCCAAAAATTTCTTGATTTCAGCATCATTTCCTGGTAAGAATTTTAGTGATAAATGGGTAAGATGTTTAAATGGATTTGTCTCAACCACATTTAGAAATGAGGGTGTATGATCTAAACTAGATCCTGAAGAAACCAGCTGTAGCAAAAACCTAAAAAGAGAAAATATCACATATAACAAAATACTTCTCAGAGTTTGATATGTGATTACAGCTAATTATTAACTTGTTTTTATTGTACATTAGTACAGAAGCAATACTTGCCTCCTCAAAAAAGACAAAGCTGCTTGTAATCCCTAAGGAAGAATGGGAAACCTTTGCTCATGAACATTTTTAAATCAATCGCTTTCAGTGCACTGATAAAACTCAACACCATGGTTGTTTGTGATTTTTAGAATACAACTGCTGTCCCCAGGCCTCTACTTCAACCCCAGTGCCACCAGTTTCACCACTACCAATGAGTGCCACCTCAATCCCCATGCCATGACCAGCTATCCCAGCACACCACAAAGCCCCAGCTGCTGCCATCCCAACATCACAGGGTGAAGCCGCCACATGGCATCAACCTCCAGCTGTCATTGCCTCAGAATATTTTGGCTGCCCTGCATAGTGGCATTCCTCGTAGGCAGTGGCACCTGGGCTGAGATAGAGGCCCAGGACCTTTGGCAAATTCACCCTGCCTCTGTTGCCCCAGGCCTCTACTTCAGTCCTAGAGCAGTTAGCAAAGCTCCTGCCACCAAGGAATACTGCCTCAACTCCATACCATGGCCAGCCAACCCAACACTGTGGTGCAAAGCCTCAGCCACCCCAGCTCTTCAGCATGAAGTCCCAGTAGTAGCCATCTCCTCCACCTTGTGCTCTGCTATCCTCAGCTGGCCTTTATTGTCTTCTTCCTCCTACTGACAAGGTGTGCCCAGCCTGGGCCTTCATGAAGCAGCTACAGCCTTCGGAATGCCTCGCAAGGCCTTAGAAAGGAGGCATGCAGCTTCAGAAAGAAGGCCACATGCAGCCAGCAGCTGCCTTCTGAAGAACCAAGGCCAGGTGCAATTTATTAGCAGTGGGGAGGAAGAAGATGGCAAAAGTCAGCTGTGGATGGCAGGGCAGTGGAGCACAGGGCAGAGTGCAGGACAAAAAAAGTGCGGGNGGGGGGGGGGGGGGGGGGGGGGGGGGAGGACTTGAAACAAATCCTGCAATAGTAAATGCCAAGGGCCTGAATTCTCACCATGTAACCACAAGAGGCTGTAATAGTTGTAGCTTTGAGGACCAGGCGTAAATATCATTTGTTCAACACAATCATAACTTTGAACAGTTGCCGAACAAATTGTTAAGTGAGGACTACCTGTAAGATGGAGATACTACTATTGCTTGTGCTTTTTGCCTGAATAGCCAGCCCCTAAAAAAATAACACATAAGGGCAGCTCTAAGCCATCAAAAGATTCTAGAAACAAACAAATGCAAATGATCCTATTGTCTCTCCTTTTTTAAATTTGAGTTTTATTTTCTTGAACTTGATAATCTAAATCAGGGGTCCTCAACCTTGGCAACTTTAAGACTTGTAGACTTCAACTCCCAGAATTTTTAATTTGAGTTTTATTTTCTTGAACTTGATAATCTAAATCAGGGGTCCTCAACCTTGGCAACTTTAAGACTTGTGGACTTCAACTCCCAGATTCTGGGAGTTGAAGTCCACAAGTCTTAAAGTTGCCACGGTTGAGAACCCCTGAATTCTAAATGATTGATTTACAAATATTATTTATATTCTTTGATTTGAGGATGATATAAAGTACTGTTTATGTATTACTAACCTTGGGATTTCTTTATCTTGTTCTTGGATACAGTGCTGAAGAAGATCTATAAATCTCTGAGGAAAAGCAGAAAAATCTACCAGAAGACTTTGCTGGAGTTTTAAACTACATAGAAAAAAAGAAAAAATTAAATACACCTACCAATGTAATGTGTGTAAGAGCAGCTAATCTTCAAGACATTTCTTTCAAAAGCTAAGAATTCTAAAGTGTTTGGCCCTGAAAAAAATTACAAAACAATTTTCTTATAACCTTTTGGAATGCTACCACAATTTACCTGTCATTTCAATTAATCACTTATTACTGAAGTAATACTCATTTCCCTTTCTAGCATTATTTATTTTTTAGCCCAGTAGTTTTTATCTAATTCCTAGAACATGATCCTGAAATAAGAGTGCCTTTCTCCTCAAAATGTTGAAAGTCTAAATCAATATTTGTCAATGAAACTTGGCAATTTTTAAGATGCATGGGGTTCAATTCACAGAATTTGCCAGGCAGTGTGTTGGGAAAATTCTGGGAATTAAAATGCACATGTTTTAAATTTAAATGCACAAGTTTGAAAAATACTGGCCTAAATAGATCCACATAGATCCGTAGCCTAAGGCTAGCATTCATAATTCATGCAAAAAGAGAACAAAACTAAACATACCAAACAACAGTGATAATATTTCCATGTAAGTACTGAGTTATATACTTTACATAATCCTAACATTATAGAGATTAATTTGGGGGTTTTTTGTAGCAAGACTATTGTACCAATATCCTTTATTATTAATGCTGGATAGTGTACCTAAAATGTAAATGTATAAAAAATCAGAACATTCATGAAAACCTACCTCTGAAAATCTTCCTCAGAAATAACAAGATTATACAGGAAAAGGGGATCTGAATCTTCAGTTAGCCGAATAACTAAATCCTGAAGGAAGAGAATGTTAATGTCAAAAATTAAGACATATATTTCTCTAGAATAATTACTTCAATAGTACCAAATCATATGACTCATAAAATGCTGAAAGCTTCTATGCAACATACAAATCCTCTGAGCATCACAAAACAATAGCAAAAGTATGAAGTCTTAGCGCAATCCTCATTTCTAAATATTTCAAAAGAGAAGTCTGACTGCAGAACCTATCCAAATCAGTCTTTAAAGTGAAGGTAAAGTAATGGAAGCCCTCCTATCTGATCCATCAATTTCTTTTCCATGGCCCAGCTGATATTTTCTTGGTCTTTTCCATTCCACAGGATCCTTGTTTCCAGAGTTCAAAGCTGAAAACAGGCTTACCAATACTGCAACTTTGATCCTTAAGTCAGCAAATAACCTACAATGTTTACAAGTTCCAATTGTATGCATTTTTAATTGAATTGCTTTAATAAAATTTATGGTAGGGTGCAGGTGTAGAATGAGGTTTAGGAGCTTTTGATCCAGATTCCACTCTTTTACCAACCATTTAAAAAGCTACCACTAGTGTGTTATTGTGAAAGGTGAGTGAAATGAGGCATGGTATAGGACTGACAGGGCAATCAAAAACATTGATGATCTTCAGGGTGCTATTTGAAAGAGAAGAATGGCTCCACAAGATTCTGGCAAAGAGCAGTGCAGGAAATATAAATGCCAAGAAACAATATGACATTAGCATCCTTGAAGAGGACTAGCATTAGGGAGATGGTTAAATGGCATTAGTTTCAATAAAGGCTCATCTATTCCGTGCGGCCGGCCTGGCGTAGTTTGATTATGTTTTAGTAGGGGTTTTGTATGGGGTATTTTTAGAGCAGGCCTGTTATTTAATTTGATTTTAGACAGAAATTTGTGTATATTTATCGTGGTTTTTATTATCGCCTGTTCACCGCCCTGAGTCCCGTAAGGGAGATAGGGCGGTATATAAATTCAATAAATAATAATAATAATAATTAGTAGCCTTGAAAATCACACCAGTGGTAAGGCCCTGGAGAAGCCTAGCTGCAACATCAGTCCAACAATCAGATTCACCTCAGTAAGACTGGAAGGTCCTGCAGCACAGCTATAGCTAGTTTCAATAAAGGAGAATATTTGTAGCTCGGGGCTGAAATGAGGGGTCCTTCTGTGTTCTCTGAGCTTAATTGTTTTGTTGCATCTGATGATATTACTTAGTTTGGGTAAGGAAACATATGCAAGAAAACAACCAAGATCAGTGTAGCTAGTTTGCCAGTGAAAGATCCAGTAAGGGTCAAAAACATTAGTGCTCTAGGGAGAATTAGCCCAGAAAGAGATTTTTTTTTTTTTTAATGTGTGCCTTTGAATCAGTGTTGACTTTTGGCAACTGCCTGGACAAACCTGAAGTTTTCTTGGCAAGATTCCAGAAGTAGTTTGCCAGAAACACAGATATAGATATAGCAGAACAAATAAGATTTTCAAACGGAAATAAAACATAGATGTAATTATAAGAAATAAGGCATAGATACGGAAACAAAGGAATAAGGTATCTAGAAATCTAAGATATCTAAGCATAATGATAAAAATAAGTACAACGCAACACTTCCACTTCCTCTAATAAAGGGAAATAAATTTCACCTCTACTTTGTGTTCTGCACCATTCCTCAAAAGAACCTATTGTTGTGGGACTGCTATCAACAAATACTACTTTTTCCAATCAGCTAAAGAACCTATAGAGAAAATTTAAGTGGTAGTTAACATAAATTATTTGAAGAATCCTCACTTATTATGCTGCTTATCACTTTTTCTATTGTACATTTACCCCATTTATGCCTCGTCTATTTTCTAAGAGTTCATGGATGAATAAATGGGGATCTAAAAACTAGCATTTGAGGTAGGTTAAACTGGCCTATATTAACCAGTGAATCCTTGGTGGAGTGGAAACTTAAACCCATATCTCTCATGAAAGTCCAAGCCTTAGCGATTACATTCTGCTGTCAGCTTGTTATGTATCCACAATAAATCACAATGAAGTGGAAAAATTGTCACTGGAAACAGAACATTCTAGAAAAGTCTGGAACATTGCTTCCCTCAGGACCATGGGGACCTCTTCCCAGACTCAGCATTTTTAAAGTAAATCTTACAGATTAGAATGACAGAGTTTTGGCAATTGCTTCAAAGTATTTATTTCAAGCAATTTTTCCTTTAAACAAGTTATTAAAATGAGTTTAAAGAATTTCAGCATTTGAACCATGTTCCTTTTAGAACTACTTCACTCTGTCATTACTTTATGGTGGAGAGTTTCTCAATTTCTTTCTAATGATCTTTCTGTGAGCCACAAAGATTTTTTTTTTTACTAATAATAGAGAAACCTGCAGCTGGCTGCTTAAACCCTGAAATTTTATCAGCCTGTGAAACAAATTACATGAAAGCAGTCTGACGTGTTCCAAAGGGGAGGGTGTAACCCCCAAAACAGGCCTTGTTCACCCAGAGTATTGTAACTTGAACACCTTGAATTGTTTCCTAAAATAGCATGATCTAGGAGATTTCAGCAATAATAGGGGACTGGAGGCTAAAACATATGAAGAGCAGTTGCAGAAATTGGGTATGTCTAGCTTAATAAAAGGAAGGATTAGAGATGACATGATAGCAGTGCTCCAATATTTTAGTGGGCTGCCACAAAGAAGAGAGAGTCAAGCTATTCTCCAAAGCACCTGAGGGCAGGATAAGAAACAACTGATGGAAACTAATCAAGGAAAGAAGTAATCTAAAACTAAGGAGACATTTCCTGACAGTTAAGACAATTAATCAGTGGAATGACTTGCCTCCAGAAGTTGTGGGTGCTTTAACACTGGAGGTTTTTAAGAACAGATTGGATAACTATTGTCTGAAATGGTACGGGGTTTCCTGCTAGATTAAAAGACCTCCAGTTTCTTTCCAACTTTGTTATTGTTATAATATTCCAGAGTTTTCTGGAGTGATCTGTTCACAGTTCAACATACTTTGTATATTTTAAATTGATAAGAAAAGAAAAAAACAGCTTTCTCAGCAGACAATACCAAAGTACAAAACTGCTAAACAAATGGGAAGGGAATACATATGAAAAATTAATCATAATGATGTAGAGAAGGCCAAGTGAAAGGATGGGAGGGCAAACTAACATGGAAAACTGTTCGAGGGTATTGAATGAAGGGTAGAAAAGAAACTGAATGAATATGTTATTTGGAAATATATGATTTGATTAGGCTGGCCCCATTTTCGTCTCAACTTTGCCAATGTACAGTTATTATGGAATATTACTTCCAGGTTTATAAGTTCCTTGCTCTGTTCTGTAGTAATGACATATTATTATTCATAATATTTATTTTGATCAATGATCAATAAAGTCTATTGTTCATGAAGGCATATGCTTGGCCAGAGTTAGCAAATAAAATTTTAAGCAGGACCACTTATTGTGACAATTGAAAGCACAATGTATAATGAAGGAGATACAAACCTTCCTATGAATGGGATTTGTTGTTGATTGCATTTCAACACTCACTCGGACCTTTATTCGTCTGCAAAATACATGAAAGTGCATTCAATATATTGATGTAAGTAACAGCAATATATTCTTCAATTGATAAATGAAATGTTGTATTTTAATTTAAGTAAAGGTGATCCATTAAGAGAGTTTGATTGTCATAAAGTCAATCTTCCCTGCTAGTTTTCTGGAAAGTCCTTAAAATGTGACTTGTCCAACAATCTTGGGGATCCATGGGGCCCCTACAAGATGGCTGCATTGTTCAGATTGTATTCACCTGCAGTTTTGTTTTTTATATTTATATTTAATTTTTTTATTATTATTCTCACATAGTTTTATTGGTTGTTACATTGTTTTAACTGCTGTTGGTTCAACATATTTTGTATATTTTTACTGGATAAAAGATTCACCTAGAATCATGTTCAATGAGATGGATAGCTACATAATTCACTAAATAATCAGTTATTCTATATATCACTATATTAAATCACCACTCACACCAGTCATTTTTATTAATGTAGCTTAATAACTAGACATTACTTTGCATGAATAACAATATTCAGACAAATATTATGACATGAAAATAGTACCATTCATGTACAAGAAAGACAAACTTTAAAGAACCAACAGGGGGAGGAATAAACAGGGGAAGTGGGGAAATAAATTTTTCCTCAGAGAAAAAAAAATCCAAAAGCCCAATGAGAGTTGAGCATGGAGAATTGATTTCAGAATATTCCAAGCAACAATCTTACGTCTTTTACCATCGTTTGCAAGGGTATGTAGTTAGTTCTGAACAGAATATTTAAGAAGACTGCACAGCCCTATAAAATGTGAGATTACAGTTTATAGTAATAAATCCCCCCAAGTTCAAGTCTCATTTTTAATTGACATTAATTTTATGAAAAGATAGGAATTATTAATTCATGATAAATAATCAGAGCCCTTCAAAGATGAGTATATAGCATACAGCATGTGAGAACTACACTTTCCAAACTATTTTTTTGTACATCTTATGATGATTCTCTTCCTTTCTCCAGGATTTCAGGATTCTATTCTCTATCTTTCCTTTTCAACCACTAAGTGAAGTCATCTGACAGTTTGGGGTATAGCATCCTCGGATAATACCCAATTATAATATTTAGACTCCAGGGCAACCAAATAAGATTGTCAAAGTTCTGTCCCAGTGCCTGGAAGCTACATAGGTCTGGATAGAGAGGAACTGCTTCTGACTTAATCCTACGAAGATTGGGTAGCTATGGGTATTTGAACCATCCAGATCGGGGGATATTCCATCTTTGACCTTGAAAGGATAGCCCTTCCCACTTCAAGGGTGATAAACAATCTGGGATTTTTGGTAGACTTGCAGCTCCTACTTCAAGAGCAGGTGTCAGCTTCATTCAGCTGGTACTCCAGTTGCACTCTTATATCGGGGGCTATCCTTCAGTTACTCATGCCCTAGTCACCTCACAGCTTGACTACTGAAATGTTCTACAAGGGACTGCCCTCAAAGACCACCCAGAACCTTCAACTGGTCCAGAATATATCAGCATGCCTATGTAAAATCTCTGTTTGGCAAGCTGCACTAGTTGCCAGTTTGCTTCAAGGTGTGATACAAGGGGCTACCCTTGTTACCTATAAAGCCCTATGCAGTTTAAGGCCTAATTACCTCAGGGACCACCTGTCTCCCATAACATTTGCCCAGCTAATTCAATCTTGCAGGGTAGGCACACTGTGGGCTCCTTTGATTGAACAATGTCATCTCAGGACCCCAGAAGTGTGCCTTCTCTGTAGCAGCACAGACCCTCTTGATAAAATAATGTTCTCCCTGAGGGTGAGATGGCTCTGGTTCTTCATCCAGGCTTTTGGCAAGAGACATCGAGACCCTTCTTTTCATTGTGCCTATTTTTTTTTTTAAAAAAATGTATGTTTTACTATAATTTTTTTTGTTTGATTTTTGAGAGCTGCACAGTCATGGAGACTTAGGCAGCATATAACTTTAGCAAATTATTAATTGGTAATATCTGATTCCAAAGGTTATTCCCATAAGTCTATTAAAATTGGGGGAGTATCCCATTTATTATTTTGTAAAACACCACAAGGAAAGCTTGCTAAATTAAAACTACCATATCTGGGCTGCAAAAACCCAGACAACCACAGATGACAACAATAAAAACAGCTCAGGTCTAGTGGCTCTAACTAAACCAGAGGTTCTCAACCTATGGGTCGCGACCCCATTTGGGGTCGATCGACCATTTCACGGGGGTCGCCAAGCAAGGCTGTCCACCATTTTTTCCCCCTTTTCCTTACCTCCCTTGAGCTGGGCCAGCTGGTGGTCAGCCTGCTCCGTCTCTGCCGCTTGCCAGCTACGCCTCGGCCGGCGCAGGAAGCGTAACCACGCATGCGCGGCGCTCCCGGGCAGGGAAAGTCCTCGACTTACGACCGGTTGGGTAGTCCTCGACTTACGACCAGTTTAGTCCTCGACTTACGATTGGTTTAGTCCTCGACTTACAACCGGTTGGGGGTCGCGGCATTAAAAAGGTTGAGAACCACTGAACTAAACAATCCACACTAAGAGAAATCATGAGCAGGTGTTAAAGAGCCTTTCCTTTCCCCCTTTTCCTGACATCCTTCCAAAAGCTTAACAACTAACCGAGGGACAGATATTGATAGATGACAATTGACTCCAAGAGTCCCTCTGCCCAATGTCTGGCTGTCATTCAACTGTTAAAAGCACGGACGCTCCGACAAGGGAAAAATGGGGGCCAAGGTACGTTTAAAATACCTGAAAATATCTACCTGCTACATAGAGACAGTCATATATGTAGCCGTTTATTATCTATAATACATTATAAACGCAGGATTAATGACAGGCAACTAGGGTGTTAGGTTAGAAAAGCAGCAGCCACGGTATCCAGCAACTTCACAGTTGAAGAGAACAATGTGTACATTGCCAGAATCGCCTCGTTCAGCCTGTTGAATCAAGCAAAAAACCACGCTATACACACCCTCAAGCTTGCAGCAGTTGAAAAGCCTGACAGGGTCATTGATCATTGGGTATGAATTGGGTATGTCTAGTTTAACGAAGAGAAGGACGAGGAGGGACATGGTAGCAGTGTTCCAATATCTCAGGGGCTGCCACAAAGAAGAGGGAGTCAAGCTATTTTCCAAAGCGCCTGAAGGCAGGACAAGAAGCAACGGGTGGAAACTCATCAAGGAGAGAAGCAACCTAGAACTAAGGAGAAACTTCCTGACAGTGAGAACAATTAACCAGTGGAACAACCTGCCTCCAGAAGCGGTGAATGCTCCAACACTGGAAGTTTTTAAGAAGAGACTGGAC